CCCCGGCCGGCCACAAGGGAACTGGGGACACTCCAAAGCCGGGCTGTGAAACTGAGGCCGGATCTCGGAGTTGGAGAGGGTGAGGGCGAGCGACGGGCCCCGTGGGCACGTCCCCGAGGCGCAGCCCGAGTCCCGGGGCTGGAGGGGACGCGGCGTGAGTGGCAGCTGTCTGGCCTCCGCGCGTGGCCCGCTGCCAGTTTCTCCGCCGACGCCAAGGGTGCCTCCTCCCACCACCCAAACAAACAAACGCACGAACAGACAATAACCGCTCTCACACCTCTCGGTCGCCTCCAAACCTGCGTGGTGCCGCGTGGCTCCGGCCAGGTGCTCTCTTGGGGCAGGACGGGCCCGAGGGCGAGCGAAGCCCGCACCCCGCGCCCCGCGTCCGCTAGAGGGCGCCCTGGGGTGCCCCAGGCGGAGCGGAGCTTGGTGCTGGCTCCCCAAAGTCCTGGAATGGGCCCCCGGGGAGCACTCACATCACAGCCTGGAATTAGACCTGGGGATAAAAGTCTTGCAGGGGGAGAATTTTTGAAAAGCAGTTTTCAGGGCTTGGGCCCACTTCTAGGTGGCCCAGCGCAGCCTAGAACCCACCGCGGCCCACCTCTGAGTGTGGGGCTCCCGGCTCTTCCCCGGGGCTTGAGAACCTGGGATCCCTGTGATTGAGGTGAACTGTGCTCCCGGTCCCATTGGCCGTCATGGGTGTGCGGGGTTCGGGCTGACCAGGACGCACTTTGTGAGGGATGGGCGGTTTTGTAATCTGTCCCCAAACAGGCAGTGGGGTGCTGGAGACACCTGAGAACCAGCTTAAGTGGCACTTATCTTGTCATCTCTCAGGATGTGGTCTCGGGGCCCTGCCTGCCCTCTTTCCCGATGCCACGCTCCTGAAGATGAGTCGGAAAGGGGGGAGAGATGCCAGCAACGCCAGACAGCTCGGGGGTCTGGAACCGGAGGCCTGGCCCCTTGGCTTCAGGGCGAGCCCGTAGGACCTCACAGCCTTTGCCACTGTGTCTTCAGCCTGTGCCATCACCTCTCACTGCCCCCTCCTCCCCCCGCAGATGTCGGGGGACTACGTGAGATCTGGGCAGGACGCCAGCCTCTCTGAGATTCTGTTTTTTGCTATAATGCAAAATAAGGGGAGTAACTTTTCTCCATCAGAGATCCAAGATGAAAAAACAAGGTCAGAGCGTGCTTAGAAATGGAAACGGTTTAGTCCAACTCTCCCTCGGGTTCTGTCAGCGAGGAGTCTCCTTGCTGCTTCTGTAGGGGGGAACTGATCTACGCAGCCCCTGGCGCGGACAGTGCGCTCTGCGGAGCGGGCGCTGCGCTGGGCGCTGAACTATGAAGAGCAGACCGGCCTTTGCCCTCAAGACGCTTGCGGGCTGATGGGATGGATTCTCCCCTCTGGAATCAGGAGTCCGTTCTTGTTATGGCCCATTGATCTTCCGGGGCCGCTCCATAACCGTGCGCTTCTGCGCAGAGCCTCATGGGGGACCAGGGAGACTCGCAGGCAATAGCCCTTGAGTTAATGGACGAGAAAGTGCTTTGTAAATTATAACGCTCTGACACAAGTCAGGTTCATTCATCCGCTCCGCAAACCCTCATTGAGTGCCTGCTTTTGCCAGGCACGGGGCAAAATGCTGGGAAGACGGAGCCCTGGGTGAATCCTGTGGGGAGATAGGCGAGGCGAGAGACCTGGGAGTCCTGTCCCCCCCCCGCCACCCCCTACCCAAGTGACGAGTGCCAGGAGAAAGCGGAGAGTGTGATTATGATCCTGTGAGACTGTGATCGTTCATTTTGGGAGAGGAGTAGATTGAAGTGAGGAGAGATGGAGAGGAAGGAACAGCCCTGGAGCCCCGGGAACTCCAGTCTGGTTGGAGAGACCTCCGAGACAGGCGAGTCCTAATGTCAACAGTGTGGTACCCAAGTGAGCCCAGGCTCTGCAGAGGGCCAGCAGCAAAGGCTGCATGGCTGGCGGGGAGCTGAGAGTGGGCCCCAGAGGACAGGGATGGTTGGAGAGCGGAGAGGAGGGGCCGCAGGCATGCCCAGGACCCCCAAGGGGCTGCCCTGGCCCGAGAAGGTCAGGACGTGTAGCGGGAAGGTGGGCTGGGCTCCCTGCGTACTGACTCCGGAGACTGAACGGCTGTCCCAGCGCCCCCACCCAGTTAGCTGTCTGACGTTGGGCAACTTACTCCCCCAGCTGTGCCTCGGTTTCCTTACTCGTAAAATGGGCTGATAACACCTGCCCTCTCAGCAGTTGTGAGAACCAAAGGAACTAATGCATACAAAATGCTTAGAATAGTCCCTTGCACATATCAAGTGCTCAGTGCCTGTTGGCTGTGCTTATCTTGAAAGCCCTGGGGAGTCTTCTTGGAGAGAGCGCAGTGTGGGATACGAGGGGATGGATGTGGCTGTGAAGGGCTTTCCGTTTGGAAGAGCCGTACATCTCCCGTGTAAGATACATGCCAAAAAGCCGCTCGACTTTTTGTTCAGCCAGCCCCCAAGAGTCTCTTTGGCTTTCTAACAGTTGTAAGGGTTTCCAGTGGCCTTTGGGATGGTCCCCGCCTCTTAGTGAGCGTCCAAGGCGCTCTGCTCCGTCTCAGCGCCATTGGCTGCCTCTCCCCCACGGACACCTCGTGCTGCAGCTCCGTGGAGCTCCTGGCCGTCTCCAGAATATTCCCCAGACCCGGGTGTTGGCATGTCCTCTTCTCTCCGGGTGGAACTATATCTTCCACACTTCGGCTGGTTTCTACTTTCCCTTTAAGATTCGGCACTTCAGGCTCCAACCTTCCAGGGTAACTCCTTCCACGTGGACGGACATGCTCGGATGGACTCGTTCGGTGAGCGCCTTGGGGACACGGGCTGTATTTCATGTTTTCTTCGTAAGCCTAGAACTTGGTACGTAGAGAGCGCTCAATGGATCTTTAAGGGGCTGGGTTGACTTCTGTTTTCCATCCCTGTTAGATGCCATCCCTGTTAGAGAAGATTGTGGCTTCTCCGGCAGGGTCCGGAGCGGCTGTGTTGATGGGATAGAGGGCGGGCCTGTGGATCGGTAGAGATTAGGAGGCCCACTAATCTAAAGACAAAGGGAGACTTTTCTCAGACTGTGCTGGGAAAGAGAGGGAGGAGACACCAGGCCAACACGGGACACATTCCCAGGCACCCACTTCCAGGCAAAGAGGGAGATGCCCGGACGAGAGCAGATCATCCTGCCCCTCACCTTCCCTCTCTGCCGGGGGCCCAGGGGTGGGTGGGGTGGGGACATTTTTCAGGTCTGTCCCCGTTGCCCTACCCTGCTGCTTTCCTGAAGAAGGGATTGAGGAGGCCCCCCGCCTTTTCCTAATCTCTCCCTTTGCAGAATTTCTATGAAGTCAGAATCCCATTTCCAGTTAAAGGTGCTTGGTCATAAAGATAATAAAGATTCATTCACGACGGAGGGGAAGTACACAGTGGTTTCAGCTGCCTGTGGGGCGCCACTTACTCATGGTGTGTGACAGACCATGAGCTCTTCCCCAAACCTCAGAGATGGGAACCCTGGTGCCCACGGGCTGGTCACGGGACACTTGTGGCACCGCCTGGTGAACTCAAGGTCCCGGACTTGCAGGGACCATCTCCGGTACTCCAGCCAGCCCCTGGGGGTGGGCGCTGAGGTTGCCATTGTTTGGTGGCTGGGTTTGTGGCCAGAGAGTTAGGGAGACTGGCCTCAGACCACAGACTTGCTCAACACCAAGCCCAAGGCCTCCAAGGTGGGCTTTCTTTGGGACAGGAGGCAGCCTGGTTGGACTACCCAGTGGCCTGATGTTACTTATCTCACTTGAATTTGCCAGTTAATTGGGGAGGCCTGGAGATACAACAGTGGGGAAGGGTCTGGTTCCTTCTCTCTGGAGCTTCTTGTGTAGTGATGGGGGTGAGAGGGGAGGTACTGGAAGCAAGGAAACCTCCCTCTCCTGCCCCCTCTTTCTCCAGACCGAAGTGGAGGTGACCTCGGGGGGCCTGCCCCTCCCCTGTCCTCTAAGAAGCCCTGGCCCCTGCTGCCCCAGTGTGGCGTCCTTGGGCAGTTGGGCCCTGACTCAGCCACTCTCAGTGGAAGCCCCTGCCCACCAGGCCTGATGGTGGGGACTGGCCTGGTCAGCTGCAGCTGTGGCAGGGATGACCTTTGCAGTGCGGGGGTGAATGTTTGTAGGTAGAGGTCACAGAGCAGGTTGACCCTAATCTCTCTCTTTCCTGCTTGGGAAAATCCGGGCAGGCGGGTGGGCGGGCAAGGCCAGGACAAAGGCCTGCCTGCCACCGGGAAGCAGCATTCCCGTCTGCAGGCCTTTGTTCCCCCGAGAGGGGCCACAGAGCTCATGAAAAGGTTTGTGGCTCGGAAGTCTGAGCAGTGGAGGAGTTCTTTCAAGTCTGACATTCCAGGCCCAGCTGGCCTCTGGCATTTCCCAGAAAAAGTGCCGAGGGAGGGGAGGGGAGAGAAAACACTTTACCAACCCACCCAGCCACCAACCCACTCTGCCTTCTCAGATTCCTGTGCCCTCTGGGCTGGGCTGGGCCTGAGCTCCCAACCCCAGCCCTGGGGAGCCCATTCTTCCACCCACAGAGGGTCTGAGGAGTGGGGGTGATTCCAGGAGGATGCAGAGAGCATAAAGTGTGTGGGGTGCAGAAGGGAGGGGAGGGGTGCCCCCCCCCATCTCTAAGAGGAATTCACATCTGGTCCAAGTTTTGAATTGGAGGGGTAGACAAAAAAGGGAATTAACTTCCAGTCACTTATCTCCCCTGACCCCAAACCAACAGACGCTGCTCTGTCCAGGGCTGGGATAGGATGGTCTCCGTCTGCCCTGAAGTGGTGCTGAGCCCGCCTGTGCCTTCGCCTGCGCCGGGAACAGACATGGGGCAGCGGGCAGTTCTGGGAAGCAAAGCTGTGGTGAACCATCTGGGCTGCAATGCAAATGAGGCCTGGCCCCGTGCCCAGAGCTGAAGTGGCAGTGCCCCGGAGAGGGACAGCCCAGGAGGGGTTAGCAGTGTGGCTGGCTCCTGGGAGCTGTGCCCTGGGCCCCAGATGCCCTTGGAGAGCTGGGGGGCAGTGGGGTCCCGGTAGACGCAGCTCTCTTGCTTGCTCTACAGTAACCCAGATGGACAGGCCGGCCGCAGGAGCGAGGCAACTGGGAGCCCCCCGACGCTGGAGCTCCTGGCTCAGGTGCTGCTCTCCCCTCGCCTGGGGGCACATGCGGCAGCTGAACTGCACCCAAGGCCCCAAGGCGGGCACTCAGGCTTCCTGCAGCAGCAGCAGCGTCTCCACAGGACCCCCCCAGCCCCCATCCGGGTGCGTGACACCACTAGGACGGTTTCTGGCTCCTCCGCATTGGCGCCCACTTTGTCACAAACCGTTCTGGGCAAGTTCAAAGGGAAGATTATATTCCATATCTCTGATTCCTAAAGTCCCCAACCAGCCAAAATGGCAGAGAAGTGGGACAGAAGAGTGGGAGGTGGGAGTCACCCTCAGGGACAGAGGTGAGATTCCATGGGGTGACTCTGGGGTGCCTGGCACATGCCGCACTCACACTGGTGCGGCTCAGGCTTCCTAAACCCAGGCTCAGAGCCCTGCCCCAGCAGACCTCCGGGGGCCCCCAGCAGACCCTCGGGGGCCTGTGGGCAGGAGCGAGCTCTGTCCCCGCTCCTCCCACCTGCACCAGTCCCCGCCGCCTAGATGGAGGTGCAGACATTTAGGATTCGGGGGTGGACGGGTGGGGCAGAGTGGACCTTGTTGGCTCCTGGCCTCCTGAGTCACTTCTTATCCCAAAAGATTTATTTTGCAAAAGAACTTATTCATTCACTCACTCATTCATTCCTTTAAGAGATCGTTATTGAGCACCTACTATGTGTTGGGAGATTGAGCTGGGTGTCTGGAGTTGATCAGCCTGGGAGCTCATGCAGCTTAGACGCTTCCCAGAAGGAAAATTTTTTTGATCACAATTGATGTCATGATTAGTTAATTTCACCTGTACTAAGTACCATGAAGGAGAAGCCCTGGGGCCTGTGGGATCATATCACCGGAGACCTAATTTATTGGGGGGGGGATCCAAGGGTATTCCCTGAGGAGGTGACACATGCAGACTGATGGGAAGCTGAGGTGTGGAGAGGTCACCTGCCCTCCCCAGGTCTCCCAGCTCATAGGTGCCAGGAGCGAGCAGAGCCCGGGACCTGCACACAACCAGCCCCAGGACGCCTGCTCTGCCACCAGGGTCTTCTCTGCTGGTCGCTCCTGCCTCACTCTCCCTCCCACCCACTGGAGGCTTCAGCCCCTCGCCTCCAAGTTCAACCTGAGGGGGCTGTGCGCTGAGAAGATGAGAATATTTCACTCCATTCCACTCGTGGAGGTGGGCCAGCACATTCTCAGACTTTGTAAACTCAAAATGAATTTTACAAAAAGGCAATAGCATCCCATGGCTCAACATTCAGGAGATACAAACAGGTGACCTGTAATCTCCTACAGTTACCCTGTCCCCCCTGGTACCTGGGACATTTCTTTACAGACTGAAAGATGCGTGCAAAGTGTGAGCCACAGGCTGAAGACAGACCAAAGACACATTGGTTGGCCTGTATGGAATTTTTAAAAATGTTTGAGACAACATTTAAAAATCTGGAAATTTCACATCCACATCTGAATTGGGGGCTTTTTTTTGAAAAAATTGGATGACCAGACCTGCAATCTGGCAGGTCTCTGTTGGACTTGGAGATGGGACCTGGGCTCTAGAGCTCATCACAGGCCCACCCCCCAGGATGACTGCTCTTCCCTCCCTTCCCTCCCTTCCAGGAGGTTCTGGCATTGACAGAGCAAGTCTACCTGGCCTCTGGCCTCCCACCTCCCCTTGTCTAGTCTAAAGGTCAAGAAGGGCAATTGACTGCGGGGGATTTGTCTCCTCAACTCCAGGAAACTGGAAATAAATCAAGCCCGGGCCTGGGAGTCCAGCGCTTCCTCTCCCACATGCTAGGGCCCGGCCTGCCTGGACTTCATCTTAAGCAAGACTTGTCCTGCAGTGGAAGAGTCAGATGCTCGCGGGGGTCACACTTAGCCTCTGCTTCAACTCACCTTGGGGGCCGGGCAGGGAAGGTGCTGCCAGGGAGCCCCTAGGCCCTGGCCTTGGCCACCCAGGGAGGTGGGAGGCGAGCCCCAGAGAGAAGGGATTCCCTGGGACATAAGTGGCCACAGGCTGCTGTGTTTCCCCACGCCAGGCTGCTGGATCCTGAGGAGGCAGCAGCTCTTAGCTGGGGTGGCGCTGGCTGCCTGCCATCCCACAAGAGGCTGAGATTCCCCTGAAAATGAGCTGCATTTATCCCTCACCAGGACAGAAACCACCCAGCATGCTCTGCCCAGGAGGCATTTCCAGAAAGCTGGGCTCCTGCTTCTTGTTAATGAAACGCCAGATGAGCCTGGGCCTCTCTGTGGCCAGGGAGCCGTTGTGCAATAGGTGTTTTGTTTTGCAGATGACAAGATTTTCGACCTTGAGAAGCTGAAATGATAAATGCGAGAACCTTGCAGGGCTCCCCACCCCTACACGGGAGGTTGTTGATTTGAGCTTTGGTGTTGGGCAAATTTGTTCTTTGCAACCTTCAGCTCCTCCGGGCCTTCCCACAGCTCCCACTGACGCAGGCCCCGGGTGCCAGAGGACCTCATTCATCGCTCCCAAATTTAGGGGCACTGAGGGAAAAGCTGTTTTCTAGAGAAGAGGGTGGCGTATGGTCTTTGTAAATAAAGTTTTATTGGAAACACAGCCACAGTGATGCGTATTGCTTGCGGCTGCTTTGGCTGCAGAGTTGAGTCATTGCCATCTGGCCCACAAAGTGTAAAATATTTACTATTGGGCCTGTTAAGAAAACGTTTGCCAAGCCCTGCTCTGAGGGAACAGACGCCTGCCTCAAGCCAGGGAGGGCTGGGGTCAGGTCTGTTTTTGGGAAAGGGTATCAGGGACTGGAAAAGATCAGAGTAACAGCTCAGCGGGGAGAATGAAGCAGGAAAAGGGCCTGCGGCCTGCAGGGAGACCCAGGGCTCGGGTGCGCCAGTCCCAAAAGGTAGGCCTGAGCTGCCAGGTTTGCAAACTGATCTGTGCAGCAGGTCAGTAAACCTCCAGGAGGCCAAGCCCCCGTTGTCCCCACCCTCAGTGGCAAGGCACAAACGGGGTGGTTCCCTCCTGCAGCCGGGTGGCCCCGGAATTCACCACCTGCCCTGAGTGCCTGCGTTTGTTAAACCAGTGTCTGTGGAGCCTTCTGCTGCCAGGTCCCGTTCTGGGTGCTCAGGGCACGCAAGGCTCTAAGGGTTCATGCGGGGGGCGGG